GCACTGCATCCTTAATAATTAAAGTAGTAAGAGTGTGAAATTGAACAATTTTATTATTTGCTATAGTTCGGTATGTAATTCAGTGTTTCACAAAATTTTATTTTCCTTAGCTTCCATATCGGTGGCCTCTGCACTGATTACATGGCCTACCACCACACCATACGCTTGTGCCGTGACATCTTTGATGAAGCCAAATCCATGGACTACAACCTCAACTTACTGGACATTGGTGGTGGGTTCGCCGGTTATGCAGTCGAAAACAATCCAACGTTCTCTGATGCTGCCAAAGTCATAAACATGGCGCTAGACGAATATTTCCCAAAAGAAGAAAATTTTGAAGTCATTGCTGAACCTGGAGTGTACTACGTGCAGTCGGCCTTCACCTTGGCACTAAGAGTTATCGGAAAACGAGTTTTACGCTCGGCAACCTCGGCCAAGGTTTGTGCATTTAAATTTTTCGTAAAGTTCCGTATGAAGTTAAATGTTTGATAAACCCGACTAAATCCCATTATATATTTTCAAATATCATAACGTGAAGAAGTACTAAAGGGTGTTGTCTCGGGTATCCCGAAAAATACTTTTTGAACAACTTTTCCCCTTTATTTCTGTGCTTTGTGTATCACTCGATCGTTGCTGTCAAATCTTATTTGAAATTTAATGCTATTGTGGGCGCAGCAGTAATGCGTCATGCATTTACTACGTCTGGCAGACTTTAACAAACCGAGGGGCGGAAAAAATGTCAAGTTTACGACCAGAAATTTGAAAAAAGTGAAGTTTTTTTTTTATTTTGGCAGACCGAGGGATTAAATTGGCTTATCCCTTGGCATGACTTAATATGAGTCGTGTAAGAAATTAGTAGAAGAACTAGTAGAAGTGGCGATATAAATGTGCGATATAAGGAATCCACGCTCACTCCATACATGTCTGTAACTTTAATTCTTGGTGTATGCTTCCTTCCCGAGTAAGTGTTCGTGACTTATATATCAGTTTGTATGTCTGATCCGCCTGAAACTATTTTTAAGCTGGTCCCTGTTTTTTTTTTTTTTTTTTTTTTTTTTCATGTGCCTTATAGGTCTCTGAACAGTCATACTTCTACTACGTCAATGATGGGATCCATGGGTCATTCTGTATCATTAAGTCATTTATGGCTGATAAGCTGGTTGGAAATTTCCACGTCTTAAAGGTATGTATCTGAGACAATAATCACAAAGAATATTTATATGAGGTTTCACTAATTTTGGGTAAAATTTGGTAACCAGATTTACTGATTGAGTGACAATGCAGTTGGTAAAGGGTGTATTATCTTAACATTTCGGTTATAATCCAAAAATGTAAATGGCTATTTCCCCCTTTTTTATTAAATGAATATAGAGCAATGAACACAGTTATGTTTTTATTTTTAAATATCCTGATATGTATATCACGATACGCTGTGTAATCAAATTGGGATCATTATAGGACGACGTCCAAATGCCGGTCTACCAGAGCACCTTGTGGGGTCCAACACTCAACCCTGATGATCTCCTGGCACAGAACATCCAACTGCCCGAACTGGACATTGGAGACTGGTTGTACGTGCCTAACATGGGGGCGTACACTATTGTGCTTGCATCCTCCTTCTATGGGATTGCTCCGCCGGAACTATTTTATTTTGCGTCTGATGAAATCACCTCTGAACTTGGTGTTTAGGGGAGACAGTTAGGGAGTTTTTATTCCTGTCTTGATTGGAAAATATATATATCACATGTTGAAAAAAAATGTGAACAATATCAACTAAAACGTATAAAATTATCATAAAAAATTAGAAAAAACCGCCCATTGCTTCAAACTGTTTTAATCCTCATTTTTATCTGGGTCATTTTTATACCACACCGATAACTAGCGTTGTCGTCGGCACAGCATATTTTATACCTATCAGCTAGGTAGTAGGCATTTTATATTCAGCGTACTTATGTGTATAAACAGTAATTTGTTCACATGTTAGCTGCATGCAAGTCCGCCAGGGCTCCGTAACTCGAAAGCATCGCGAATTGCGACCGAGCGCAAGCGCCTCTATTCCATAACTCGAGATTTACTCGCCCCATGTAATAGCCTAGCCTCGAAATGAAAGGTGATATCGCCATCGCAATTCGCGATGCTTCCGAGTTACGGAGCCCTGGAATAAAAGCGCTACCTATATACCATATATATATATATATATGTGTCAGGAATATAGGCCCCATAAGAATAATATTTTCTAAAGTTCTGCATACCGTTCGCACTAACACATCAGTAAATTCCCTCTCCACTTTCTTTTTTCTGCAATTATTATTTTGTCATTTGATGCATGTTTGCCTGCTATAATTGCGTTACTATATAAAAATGGAGACATATCACATGGAAGCAGTTGTCTCCGTTCTACATTGAAAGCTGTTCCTAAACTATATTTCCATAATCTGTTAACGTTAACATTTTACATGTTCTTTTAATGATATTTACGGTAGGTCCCTTTCACTTTACAAACATGTATTTAAAGTATAAGAAATAAAGGTTTGCATTGAAATCAAGTTAAAAAACCTCGAAGAAATCTTACAATGAAATATCATAAAAAGGGCTCCACGCTGTGAAACCAAGTCATTAAAATCAGTCCAATCCATTTGAAATACAACTACTGGTAGATACACGTTCGCTTGGTTTGATTCAACGTTATACACGAACAAAGTGGAGTTGACTGAAGAAAAACAAGAATATGATCAACTCATCCAAGCAATACACTATCTTAGTTCATAAATGGTTTCTTGTTTCATGTTGGGTTCTAAACAATATCGACCTCACCATTTTCGTTCTAAAACCAACTACAGGAAGTAGACGTTTAAAACGTAATTCAATATCTATGTCAGACTCAATTAAACCACAGACCTCAAGGGTGGATCCAGGATTATTTGAAGGGTGGGTGGATGGGAAGCCAACCCCCCCCCCCCCTCTTGGCGTGGAGTTCGGGGCCTGCTGAAGGGCCCGAAAATCTTAGTATTTTAGAAGTTTAGTTCTATGATTCAGCTAGTCTAAATTCTAATTTGAAGAGGGGTCCAAGAATCGAAGAGGGGTTAGGACCCCCCGACCCCCCCCCCCTCCTCTTAATCCGCCACTGCACCTATTCTTTGATTTGTACTCTGAACTCTTGGTGGTGTACAAAACAAGTGAGGGCAAACAAACTGTTAACTTCCTTCAATCAATCTTAGAACATTTTAGCTTAAATGTTCCTGTTTAGGACTTGATATAACGCATTCATGTTAATCTTTATATCTAAGTAGGCTCAGTTGTTTTTCTTTCCCTTATATCTCAGTCAACGGAGAAAAAGACCAAAGGCAAGTAAAATCTATCGCCTTTTTGACGTGGCAACAGTATCTCTCTGCAACATTGTCAATATGTCTACTTCTGCTGTTGTAATTACTAGTATGTTAGTTGCATCAGTCTTGCATCTTGGAGGAGCAAAAAGTGTTGACGACACTGCTTTTAACAGACTCATGGATAGGGTTCGTAGCTTAGAAAGTGTGATTCAGGACCAGGGCCTCGAGAATTCACAATTTGAGACAGATATCAAGCTAATGAAAAAAGAGAATCAGCATCTTAAGGTAACGTAAATACCCAACAGTATTTCATCATTATTAAATTATTTTTGAAAGATCACCTTAAAACTCATTCATTTATTTGCTATAAAGCTTCCATCCAATCAAGATTCTTCAGAAATGTTGTTATGCACAGACATATGCGAAAAACTAAAAGCCAGAATGAATATACATGTACATGTAGGTTATGAATTTCCAGGATTCCATACACAGCCTCCAGTTAACCCTAAATGATCACCCCAGTAATGAAAAGGACGTCAAATCAAAATTGTTGTCACCCATGAATGATGATCATAACAACGCATCAGCCACAGGGGCTGTGCAGAGTAGGTGAAAATTACAAATAAATGTAACTGCGTAAATTAATAGGAACCGATTATTGTGATCTACCGTAGTAGTGTGCACTTTGCCTAGCAATATCCATGTTCATACCTGTTGTATTATTAGCTTTATTATTGATATTATAGAAGGACGTACACATTTTATGTGCATCTACTGTATTTGTCTTATTTTCATATTCCAGTTTTACATGATTTTTTTTTTTATTCATTTTTATTATTTGACACAAATTCTGACGCTGATGCATATTGTTTTCTAACAAAGTCAGTATGTCCACTAGGGTCGTCTTTAAAAAAAAACTCGGTGTTTATATCATAATGCTCTTTTTATTCACTTATAAACCATGGAAAAACTAAAAATCATCAGTGGCCATTTTATGTATAACACTATTTCTTGCCTCTCTCGCAGCTGCCGTGTGCCCTCAGGCATGCAGGGGACTCCCAGGCAGAGATGGCAGAGATGGTACACCTGGGAACGATGGGAAACCAGGCAGAGATGGGAAACCTGGCGATGATGGGAAGCCCGGAAATGACGGAAAAGCCGGCAGAGATGGGAGACCAGGCAATGATGGAAATCCTGGCAGAGATGGGAAACCTGGCAGGGACGGTAGTCGTGGGACAGAGGGCAAACCAGGCAAAGATGGCAGAGATGGTATACCTGGCCAAGACGGAGAAGGAATCCAGGTGAGAAAGATAAGTAGATGATTTTTAATGTACATGCACATCCTGTCTGTGCATGTAACCATCTCTTGTCTTTGTCGTCGTCGTCGATAACATGGTACACTGAGAACAATAAAATACAGATTCATTTTAAAAAATCAGCTGAATCGGACCAAGTGACTTATGTGTCACACAGATGAGTGAATTTAGTTGTGGTGCTGGTAAGTTATCATTTGGATTATATTGGGGATATATATTTAGTAAAGAGTTTGGTGGCACTTTTATCTTTTATTATAGTATTAAATTTTTCTTTGATTGAGCTCAAGTAAAATAGAAAGCATACCAAGTGCAGTGTTATAAGGATTCACAAAATTAATTTATATTTTGTGTTGTTGATAGGGTCCTCCCGGTCCCTCTGGTCCACCTGGCCCTTCTGTGACAGACGACAGAATCAAACAACTTATTCAAGATCTAGGTACACTTTACGCTTCTTTACTTCAAAGATGATATTGTCCAACGGTCTGCATGGACCGTACCACAATGGCTGTTTACGTATCCATAAAAATTACTCTTCAATTGGTAAAAAATTGGTTTCCATTTGAAAATGTTAAATCATAAGACATGCTGACCGTTGATATTGCAAAATGTAAACCATCTTATATAAATTTCAAGACAACGACATTCAACAATTTGCGTATTTTTGTATTGTTTTATAGGTTTACCACCTAATACGACAGGTGGCGGATCAGTGTACACGAGATGGGGGAGAACTAAGTGTGGTGTCTCTTCTAAACTTCTTTATGAAGGTAAGAACTGCATAAGCAATTACAGTCACGCGGTTTTAAAATTGAACCATTTCAAAAATGAAAACATAATTTTTAATGGATTGTTAACCCATAATAAATTAATTAGGGTGCCATTTCATTAAGGCCTAAATCATATAACCTCTTACGTATACTGCATCTACACATCGCTGTTGCCCTTTTTTATTTTGTAGGTTATACTGCTGGATCCTACTATGGTCAGAAAGGTGGGGCTAGCAACTACGTCTGTCTCCCTCGCGACCCACAGTGGGGCAAATACCAAGATGGAATCCAGAATTCTGGCCCTGTCATTTACGGCACAGAGTACGAAATGGGATATTACTCCAATGATCCTTTCCAGAGGATCAATGTTGGAGGCAAGAATTTCAAGGACCATGATGCTCCATGTGCTGTTTGTTACACCCAGAACCGCACCAGTCATGTTATGATTCCAGCCTGGAAGACATGTCCTGCCGAGTGGACACTGGAATATCATGGCTACTTGGTTGCCCAATTCTATTCGCAATATAGAACTGAATTTGTCTGTCTTGATGAGGCTCCAGAAGCAGTCAGAGGAGGAGAAATCAACAAAAATGGTGCCCTTTTCTATGTAGTTCAAGCCAAATGTGGTCAAGCTCTCCCATGTCCGAATTATGTTGAAGGGAGAGAGCTCACCTGCGTTGTGTGCTCCAAGTAGGTGAAGTGTGGTTAAGTTGTCACGCAATTATGTAACTCGTGGCAGTTTGCAATCATTACAATATCTTTATGCCATGAAGTAATGAGAGCATTCAAGACAATATTCAGAGCTCTCTCTCCCTCTCTCATAATGAGTTCTCAATATATTCAGATTATATTGTCATTACACGGAAGGTTATCTGTACCTAGACTTGCGCCAACATTAAACTGTATGCCAATTACCAATTTTTACTGTACTCTGGTTGCACAAAATGAAATTCGGTTTCCATTTCTGATGGGGGTGGTTAATTCAATGACATGGAATTTGATCAACAGTTTCCAGATATTAGCTTTTAACAAAAATAATACAATCTGGGAATATTCCTACTCGTGTATGTTGATTTTTTCTTATTTTTTGGCAATTTGTTTCCTTGTTAGTGTTACATGTACCTGCCCTTCAGTAGATGATCAAGAACTGGTATACGTATTTTAAAACTATTATGTTGCCGAACCTGGTGCCACTTATGGATAATATTCAGATTGAAAATAATTAAGCTAACGAGCTATATTCAGAACATCTGATGTTGAGAAACTGAAATCTGAAAAGTTTGCATAAAGTAAACAGTAAATATCTCATATGAGATTCCTTAAATTAAAGAATGGATAGGTATATACACTGTGCAAATTTTATGTAACTGTGGAATTTCAAAAGATATTTTTCCTGTAATGTCACATTCAAGCAGATAATAAAACTTTCTTCTTACACCACACTGCCAATGATATTTATCTTTTTTTATCTTTTACGATAGATATGCCGAGTTCTTTAACATTTAGGTTACCCTACAACAATGATGGGTTTATGGTTTTAAGAAAAATACAGAGCAGAGACTAACACCTGCCTGAGCTATAAGGTTGTCAGGTCATTTTTCTCCATTTTTTGCCACATGACACGCAGGCGTGGTTGTATTCTATGCACTACGTACAATGGATATATTTTAGCAATTCAAGTTATTGCCCCCC